CAAACACTTTTTCACACCACTGTATATATATATATATATAAAATCCTATTTTCAAAATCCAATTCAAAGCATCTTTATTTTGTGACAAGACAGCCAAGTTCTAACAGAAGAAAACATTCTAACTGCATTTAAAAACTGAAAATTTTGGTTGATTTGCACCATTATAACTCATTTTAGATATTTTTCAAGCAGAAATGGTAAAACATTTGCTATGTTATTCTTTCCAAACAATTRTGTTTCCTTTGCCCTAATCAATGTACCTAACATTTTAAAAATGATCACAATTACAGAAACTATTCATCACATTAGGTAAAAGAGAAAGAGGGACCAGGCCATAAAGGCCTGCCATGAGAGAAGGGGAGTAGAAACAAACATGGAGAAAAACAACAATACAAGGAAAGAAAGGAGGGTAAATAAAAGAGGGTTCATTGCAGGAACACCTGTATTTCAGTTCCTTTGTTGGTATCTTTGTTCAACTTTTTACTTTGTGAAAAGGCATTTTACAGTAGAAATTTCTCCTTATTTCAGAAGGTGATAGATGTTGAGTTGTTATTTCTTCCTTTTTTTGTACAGCTGTATTTGGCAATGTTGTGGCTAGGACTCAGAGCCAGATTTGTGTCGATACTGAAATCTGTGTCTCAACAGCAGACAAACACACACCTTGTGAAACTCGCCCCCCAGGGCCTACCTGAACTTGACCTTCTCTGAAACACATCATTGATCCAATTCCACAGTACAGCTAATTATACAACTGTTAACACACGAYACTACTAACAGCTCAAATCGTTTAAAACCGCCTCCTCTGAAGGTTGTATGCATCAAACACACTTCAGTGCATTTGTTGAGGCCAGAGGAGGAAAAGTTGCTGTGGACKTCCAGGTCACTGAAGTGTAAAGACGTCGCCTCTCATCCTGGTCGTGAAAGAGTGTGTCCACCGTCTCAGAGAGGCAGGATGTTGACACCTACAACATAATCTGTAGCTGTATAAGCACACCTACTGTGTGTATAAATAAGCTACAAGAGCACAAACTATTCCCGGCTGATGCTGATGATGAAACAAGCATCCAGTCACCTCAWTGACGCTGCCTTCACAAGGTGGAGTAAGTGAGGTAACGCTGCTTAGCCATTCTGACACCAGCAGTGTGACATCATGACACTAAACAGCCCAGGATTGGCCCGGTGTCGGACAGATCAGCTTCTATCACTAACAGACGAAAAACTAGCCAAAAGTTGGACCACACCACAACTCTTCGAGTCATTTCCTGTCAGYAGTGATGTTAATGCAGCTGAGGGCAAGCACAGTCGTGTACAAAAGCGCTTATTCACTATCAACACACATACACACAACTTTTAGTGCACTAAGACAGCGAAGGACATGACACACAGGCTGTGTGTTGCAGATAAGGCAACATCTGCTTCTGGCTTTAAGCAAGATGAAGGACAAAACAATAAAAAATATATACTGATATACAATCCTTCATTTCGCAGAAGCACAAACTGGTTCAGCATAGGGATGCTAACAATTAATCGACTTACGATTAATTGTCGAATAATGGTTTCTTAGATTAAGATTTCTTCCAATCGATTAATTGAAAACATCAGTTTAAACCTTATTTCAGCATAGTTTTGACTTCATCCAGCAGAGGGCGCTGCTACTCTACCGGCCCTGTTAAACTCAGCAGAAAGCCGTCTCGATGTGGGCGGGACCGCAAACGCRMGAGTCTTGTTTAGTTTTATTTGCGACATAACAATAGATGGTTTTCAAATGACGTAGYGACCTGCAGATCACGTGATCAAATCGCCATAGTCGTGGYTGCGAATGCGGAAGAGGGGCTAGTCTACAGCACAGAAATGAATACAGTCTAGATTGTTTATGTRGTATGTTTCTATAAGTTRTTTAAACAGTCATGGAGCAAATTTGCRTTCGAGTTAGTTACAAAACTGTCCTGCTCGTGTGGCAGAAAAACGMTCTTAAAAAAATACAGGCGACATAAAAACGCTAAGAAGCAGAACTGTCGGCAAAGCGACGTGATTTTGTGGCTGGCGATAATCAACCACAAAGATTTCACCCTCCTCGGGATTCCAGAGGGTGATCAGATCACTCCTGCCATGGTTAATAACCGCATAGTATGTTAATTAACTTAAAAAAAAAAGAAAAAGATTACACACTATGAACAGAAAAGTGTTTTGAATATTATGCAATCTACCCTTGTAAACACGAACGTAGGATACACTGACAGTATCAGATTATAATCACAAAAAGCTCCTTATTATGCAATATGTACCCATTTGGAGTATGTAAGATATAGTTAATAATATCAGAGAAAGTCACACAGTCATGTCAACACAGCGGCTCTGCAGACTTCAGCAGCTCGTAAGGATTGCCACTTTCAATAAAACCTTGATTTAGATTTATTATTCAGTAGATCCATGGGTGTCCTGAAAGGCAYGTTTTAAATACAAGTATTATTATCCTGGTCATGCTCGCCTGTGTCGTTCAGTGGCCTTTTTGCATTTTTTTCTCCCTTGCTTTTGTGGTTCTCCCAAACTGCTTTTATCACTACAAGCTAAATACTAGCCCACGAACGGGGTGCGGAGGGTAAAAAAAGTCCCGGATGATGATGTCAATGAAAACCATCTATATTCACTTGAAGTTGATCTAATCTGTGTGACGTAACCCAACCAGTAAACCAATCTAATGAACAGTAACTGACGTCAGATCAGGCCATGTAGCCCAGCTAATCTAGAACCAGAAGGAATGTAAACAAACAAACAATTGCCAGTACTCATATCTCACGTCTTTCAGGTATATTTTTATGTTCTTAGTTTGTTTTTGAGTTCAGCTTTATCTTAAAATATTACCCTGTGTTTAAATTATAGTTTTTCATCTTCAGGGGGAATCAAGAGTTTTACTTATTTTATTCTTTCATTTTTTTCCAACTAGAAACTTAACAGATTCCTGTTTTGTTATATTTTATAAATATGTCCAAGTTTAACAATGTGAGGGAAATCTACATTTCTCTGTTCATTCAGTCACTGTTTACTCTGACAGACAACAATGAATTGTTAAAATAATACTGTACTTTTTTATTTAGTGTGTAAATATTAGCCCTTCATGTTATACAAAGACCCTTGATTCATGAGRAATGTCAGGCTTTTAGGAAAATGGCCGCTTATCAATTAGTCATTAGTCGATCGATAAGATCAATCAACTTTAGATTAATCCATTAATCGATAACTTGCATCCCTAGTTCAGCAGCATGTTGAAGAGTCTGTGAAAAATTAACTCAACCTGGACCTYTTATACCATCTCAAAGCTCATTTTCACCTTTTGAGTTAAAAACACTGACCTACCACTAAATAATACATGATACATGACAAAGTCTGCCAGTTGTGAAGCACTAATGGAAGCTGAAAATATKTTAATGTTCAGTTTGAAATTATGTTTGTTGTATGCTTTCAGGTCATCCCCCAGAACAAAACAAATAAGCACTGAAAGTCCCCTGAGAGACGGTGGAAAAGAATAAATAATTCATGCAAAACTGTGTAGAGCTAAATGCTGCTCGCTGCAGCGTGTCATAAGAGCTATAAATAACAAAAACAGAGCCTCATGCAGCCAAGGTCTGTGCCAATAATTAGATCCTGAACCAGTATTTTAATGTTTATTTATGTCTTTATGCAACCAGATATGATGATGCGAAAAATGGGAGTAAAATATGTGAGTTTTCAGTGATAAATATATGTGCCGCACTAGGACTGTGTACAAAAAAATGAAAGAAAGGACATCAAATTGCAAAGTAATAAATAAAAAACTGAGTTGTGGTCAATACGATTTGCTACACAATTTTTATAAAAATTTCTTTGTTTAGAATATTTCTTTTAGAAGCTTTATTATTATTATTATTGTTATTATTATTATTGATTGTTGGGATTTTACATGTACCTTTGTTCATTTTATACACTAGGTTGTCCACAGTGTTATGTTGTTGTACATTCAGAATCATATTTTTTTAGTATACAAAAAATAAAGAAATAAATAAAAAATAAAATCCTATTCCACTCTGTGCTAAGAAGGCAATCTAACTTACTAGGTATTTTTGCTATTCCAAAAATATAAGTGATTCTATGTATCACTTTGTTTAAAGTTTATTTTTAACACGTTTTGGTTAAGTTTCATGCCCTTCTTCCTCTTTACTACACTAAAATATCTTGCCWGTCTCCCATTATTTAGTAATGTCCACTTACTTATAATCAGATAAAATGGACCCATCAASCTAATTAATGCCCCTATAATATATCTAAGTTCATATGTACCTTTGTGATTTGTGGTGAATGCATGTTCGCTATAACTGATAGGATGTTATTTGCCTATAGATAGGGAGAAGCAGAGATTATTTTACTCCATCTGACTCAACAAAYAAACTGGTTGGACCAGCTTTAGCAAGTTTCAGGGATTAGTTCATGTTGCTGCTAACTTGTTTGCTTGCTAAAGCTGGTTGACATAATTTAAAACACAGTTGAAGGTCTGAAGGTGTTTTGGGTTAGCTTTCGCAATGCTTTTCCACCAGTGTCAAGCTAAATTTTGTAGCTAAATCAAAGTAACATTTCGTTTAAAAAAGAGCCACTTCTGACAGCTGAAGACCTCTGGTGCCTGTCACGGAACTAACCTGGAAAGATGTTTCAGGATCTGCTTCTTGATGAGCCCAGCCATGACCCAAACTAATCCGATATCCGAGCCGCCCGCCGGGTAATGAGCTGTCGGAGCTAGCTAGCTTCTTCCCACTCGAGCTAAAAACAAGCAGCAGCTCAAATTCTTAGCCCAGTCATTCTAGCGGGGTTCCCGCTTTACTCTCGATAGAAACAAAGAGGCCGGGAGCGGAGGAACGGCATTTCAGATGTCTCGGAGACARCCGGGCTCGAAAACAAAGCATACCACGTCGGGCCACTGGTGACGTTCCCAAAAACCGGAGAGGATCTCCGCAGTATCATTCACGGTACACCTGAAACAGTGCATCACAGGGGGACAGCGCACAGACAGGCAGCCGTAGCTGCCACGGCGAAGGGCGGAGTCAAATGCTGCATTCAGGGGCTGCTCGAAAACAAGGCTTTCCATGTTTATTAGAGACTTTCAGCTGCTTTTTCTGCGTCCAGTCATTGTACTTGAACGTCACAGCAGGCAATGGCTAAATGTACTTTTAGAAATTAGGAAAAGTGACGAGTGGAGGACAAAAGAAGAAGAGAAAGGCCTAAAAGAATGATCTACAGTCAGACACCGTTCTGGTTCATAGGCTACCTTTAATTTAAGAACGTTTTCCTGCGTAGTTTAGGGTTATGTTAGGGTTATGGTTATAGACAGGGTTATAGTCGGTCAGTGGCAACAACAATGACATTCGTCTAAGTTCAAATGAATGGAAAAAGAAGCCAAAGTTCAGATGGCCACTTTAAAAAGCTGTAAAAACTCCTTGCAAAGATTTTTTTATTGATGGATCACAAAAGATTTTTGGATATTTAAGGAAGCTCACGGACATCAAAATAATAGCAAAATAAACTATTCTAGTCATAACTATAAAAAAGGGCCAAAAAATCAAGAACGTTTCTTAAAAATACATATTTTAAAAAGGCTCGCAACAACTGAAACCAGATCAAAAAATGCAACACAGCCTAYAAGAGAGTAATAATTAAAATCACAGAATTCAGGATGATAATGAAAGCAGCAAACAAAGACCTAAAAAAAAAAAACCCTCAAAATTATGACAAGAAAAAACGCAAACATCGCTGAATTCTGATCGAAATTAAACGCTCCTTTAGTGACATCTAGCGGCATAAAAGGTTATTGCAACAGATCAACAGGGACATTACTGTGGCAAGACATTACCCTGTAAAGTACAGTGTAACTCAGTACCATAGAGTTAAATTTCTCTAAATAGCACATAACAAATATTGTTATATACACCTCCATGCTCAGCACACACTGAAAACTGCTGGGTTATTTTAACAACTCAGTAGCTAAAGTGATCATTCCATGGAGTAACTGTAAACAAAAGTGTTAAATGTTTTTGGCATAAAGTCTTCACAATTTTCAAAAGGTTTCGTTTGATAATAAAGTCACTGTACCCTCAGCATCAATATATCATCTATAAACGGCAGAGAAAATAAAACATCTCTTACTGAAGGGCGTAAATTTAGGTCTATCCTTGGGGGTTATGTTCTCTTCCTATTCATTCAAACATTTACTTTTGTAAAACGTTTCAGGACATTCTGGTGTTAAAATGCATTGCAATGTTTTAAATATGATTTACCTAACTTTCCTGTTTTCTTTGTATTTACTCTGCACCTTTTCTGTTACACATCAGTTCAACAATTAAGAAAATWSTTGCTTTTAACCCCACTTATTACAACAGCAACAAATATTTATACAACATAAATTTCTCAATTTTCCATGAGCATGCATTTACCTGGTACACAACAATTTGACTTGAAAACATTACAACACGATTCGATAAATACAGCCATAATGTGACAAGAGCATACTAAAACCCCGCGTGCCATTTTCAGATCATTTAATGATCTGAATCTTTGCAGTGACCCAGGACTTATGAGTCCAAGGTCTCAGTTAACCCAGACCCTACATGTCAGACTGTTGAGGGTTCATGAGTTAGCAGACTCACTGGAAAAAAAAACATCTGAACACTGAGGACTTAGAGGAGTCAGATCACTGATTCGAGTTAAAACAATAAATAATAACTTGGTTAACCTGGATTTTTTTTTGGGGGGGGGGGTGGCGTTTTTGTTTATGTTCCATCATTTCTAAAGTGCTTGGAACTGTAAAAATAAAAATCTCTGAAATGGAATAAAGCAAACGTGGATCCTTAACATTCTGAGAGGGTGCAGCTGCATGACTCAAATGACACAAGTGAATCGGATCACTTCAGTGAGTCACTCAGATTAACTCAAGTCCACAGAAAGAACCAAATTTAGTTAGAAATTATTTTATTTTTAAAAAAATGTTGTTTGTTTGTTTGTTTGTTTGTTTTAGTTTTTAACCCAGCGGCTTTTCGTGTGTAACTGCTGATAAATAAGTGAACTGTTTTCTGTTTGTGACTATCCTGGCTGCTGCAGACCTCAGTGATGATGGTTCAGGCTGCAGAGCAGCTGCCACGTAGGAAAGGAGGAGCAAGGCTGAGGGAAGGAGGTGACTCCTCCCTGAGCTGCAACTTTACATCATATGAACGAGTAAAAGAGACTTTAAATAAAGTTCACTTCAGCAGGAGGGGCTGTTCGCATTAAAACTGCAATTCTTAACCAAGAAGTTTTTGAACTATTAATGTAATAAAGAGACTGTGTGGGAAAAATAAGCTGGGCAATAATGATGTAAGGAAAAAAAACTTGCAGTTTCCTGACCCACGCAGAGTGGAGTTGGATAGGACAGCCCACAGCCGCGTGCCACCATGCAAAACAGCTTGGTGGAAAAGACACGACGCGCTCACTGATACGCTGCTGGACCAGTTGGTGGGGCTGGACCGGGACCGGGAACCGTCTCCATCCACGACTGCAGAAACCTGCTCAGTCTCACAAACGCGCGCTCAGAGAGTATTAAAAAACAAAAAGATGGCAGGGGGAAACAAAACCAAGAGCGACAAAAACTCCGCTGCGCACAGCCAGGACAACAGCGCCGCGCAGAAGAAAAGCCCCAAAAGTGGCGCAAACGGGGCGAGCGTCCCCGGACCCCAGCAGGGCAGCTCCTCAAACTCAGGCAGCTGTGCGGGCCTTCTGTTCAACTCCCTCTTCTATCTGGCGCTGATTGGAGCTGCGGGCTTTGCGGCGTTTTACGTCCAGCAGGCGGTGGATGAAATCCGGCACATGGGCGCAAAGTACGGGGAAGACGCACGGCGAGGCGCAGAGCTGAGCACCAAAATGGAGAGTGTTTTTCAACAGGTAAGGAAAGAAAAGCGCCTGAATGAATGAGGGAAAACTGGGTAAAAACGTTCACATAAGTTTGCAGAAGTTTRACTGACTTGAAATCACATAAAATAAYTTTTTTWAAACTTTATTGCCCCTTGAGGAATTGYAAGTTTTTAATTAATTTACTTGTTCTTTGTCAATCCTCTGCTTTATATTCATCCCTTCCTCATTCCTATACAACAGTTTGTWTTCTGTTCAGCCCACGGTGCAGAAGCAATTTAATTGCGTTCAAAATGTGGTGCGACAAGCCTGATCTTCACTGACCAAACGATAACCAGTGCTGACATTAGCTATGTGCTGACTCATGCTTTCTGTTGACTTGTTCTTTTTGGGCACCGACTGAAACATTACTAAGAGTCTTGAAGCCCTCAGGCATTAAAAACTGGTCTGATTGTGTTATATCACTGCGTGCGACTCAGAAACATTTCCCCAAATCATTATCTGTAGAAAAAGTTCTAAACAAACTGAGGCATAGTGTAATTCTTTATTTTTGGAGATCCAAAAGCCAGCCTCTCTGATGGTATGGGGGTGCATTAGTACCGCAAATGTGCCCATTCACACATCTTTTTTTTTTTCATATAATGCAATTGCCATATTTATGGAGATTCTGATGATGTGTGGCAAAGTTAACACTTTGTTTCTGTGTTTTCTCCAGGTGGAGTCYCTGAGGAGCAACATGGACGGTTTGGAGTCCTCCCTGGGCATCACTCGGGTGGAGCTGGAGGCGGCTGTGACCCAGGTGAAGAGGGGCGAGGTGGAGACGAGGAGGGTGGAGGAGGCGCTTCAGAAGCTCCAGAACGATCTGCTCCGGGACCTGTCGGAGGGCATCAAGGAGGTGAAGGAGGCCCGGGAGAAGGACTTCTCCTCGCTGGAGAGGACCGTGGAGGAGCGCTTGGCTGAGGTGAGTCGGTCCATCTCAGCCAGCGTGGCRGAGTTCGCTGCCTCTCAGGGCGAGGCTCAGAGCCAGCTCGCCGAGCTCAAATCCCGCCTGGGCATCATGGAGGACCCCGCGCTCGTAAAGCAGGAGCTGGCGGCCATCGTCGACGCCGTGGCAGAAATCAAAACAGCCAAGCAGCAGACTGACACGACCACCAACTCCCTCAGGGAGCAGATCGGCGCCGTCAGGGAGGAGCTCCAAACCCGCAACCAGGAAGTGGCCTCTCTGTCTCAGGAAGTCCAAACGGTGAGGTCGCTGGTGCAGGAGACCACCGGGTCTCTGAAGCAGTCCCTGTCTGCGGCAGAAACCGAAGTCCAGACCCTGAAGGACCAAAGCGGGGCGCTTCAGAGCAGCTTGGAGCAGGCTAGCGTCGCAATCCGAGCCGTGGAGGAGACGGCGAACGCAGCCGCCGCTCAGGCTCAGAGCAAATCAGAGAAGAGCGAGGACTCGCTGTCGGACCTCAGCGACAAAGTCGAATCCCTGCTCGCCAGGTACGACGTGCACGAGAGCGGTTTAGCTGCGCAGGCGGACGCGGTGAAGAAGGTCAAAACGGATCTGAAGCAGGAGCTGGAGGCCGTGAGGACGTCGGTGGAGGAGCTGCAGTCCAAAACCGCCACGGCTGCTTCGGCAGACTCCAGCAACCAGAAGGTGGAGGAGCTGGAGAGGAGGCTCGCCGCTTTGAAGCCCGAGGAGCTGGAGGACCTAAAAACAACTATGGACGATCTGAGGAGCAAAGCAGCCAAGTTGGAAGGCCACGATCAGGCCATCGCTGTGCTGAGGGAGGCGCTTCAGGTGGGGAAACAGAAACAAGCAGGAGAAGAAGGAGCGGCACAGAACCTGGAGGAGCTGCAGTCCAATCTAGCTGCTCTGAGCGAAGCCCAGAATGAGCTCAGCATGAAGGACTCCAGCCTGGATCAGCAGATGGAGGAGCTGGAGAAGAGACTCACAGCTTTGGAGGACAGGATGTAGGTGGACTGAAGCGGGCGACGAGGCTGTTTCTGCAAAAAAACCTCAGAGACATCTTCGCCTCTGCACCATCAGATAGAACCAAAACAACGGAGGCAATATTGAATCAAGTTTTTCTTCTCTTTTCTTTTTTTTTAAATGAATTATTTCCAAAACTTTTAAACATCAGGAGGAGGGGTGGAGCTTAACTGCTGATCTGTGAATTCAAGTCCACTCAGTCTGCACTGTAGTTTGTCTTTTTTGTTAGACTTAAATAGTTTTGACACCAAAAAATAGAAGTTTCAAGCACTCATTTGTTTTTTTCACTACATCATTTCTTTTCTTTTTCTTTCTTTTTTTTTGTAATAAAAATCTCAACTCGAAGCTGTGAATCATTATTTCGGGTGTGAACTTCATGATGAAATCGTGTTTTGCTTTGGCTTTCGAGACACATGAGGTTTTTAAAACAATTAGAAAAATGTCAAGCGGAACGTCCCAGGGATTAGACCGACCCAAGCGGTAAAATCTATCTAACCCCAGATTATCGGAGGCCTCGTTTGGACAAAGCTTATCAGTGTGACGCCGGTCTTGTCATAACTAGAAGGTCGTCTCGCATCACAACATGAAACTGGGAACAGATACGCACTAAAGAAGAGGATTGAGGACATCTTATCAGTGAAGCTTATTTTTCCATGTTCGCATTTTAAAGGGATCCACGATTAGTTGTAACATTAAACTTTATTTGATAAACATTTATTTTAACTGTAAAATAAAGACTGTAAAAATACTGTAGGCTGTTTAGTTTTGTAAATATTTAAAATATATTTTAACATGGATGGAGCCATTTTATTTACACGCAAAGCATTCTGGGTAAATGATGACATCAACTAGGTCATCGGTGCGAGGCTGCTAGTGAGCTATATCCACCCTGAAGGTTAATCTTGGACAATATCTGATGATCGACTCTTTTAAATGAAACCAGAGAGCGTTGACAGAGAGGAGAAGGTAGAAATGACTCAGCCTGTAACTGAAAATATGGATGGAGGACAACAGAGCTGCTTCATGGAAGAAGAACCTCAGCTTAACCTGTTAGCTTTCACACTAGCCCTCACGCTATATAGCCTTATATGTATTAGCTTAGCGCTAGCGCTACAAACAAGCTAAACTGAGGTTCTCCATCCATATTTTCAGTTGCAGACCGACTCATTTTTGTGTTCCCCTCTCTGTCATGTGGATGGAGGACCTCAGTGACGAGAGGAGAATGTGTAGCGCTGAGCTAATACATATATATGGTGATAGCATCGGGGCTAACGCTAAAGCTAACAGGTTAAGCTGAGGTTCTTCTTCCATGAAGCAGCTCTGTTGTCCTCCATCYATATTTTCAGTTMCAGGCTGAGTCATTTCTACCTTCTCCTCTCTGTCAACGCTCTCTGGTTTCATTTAAAAGAGTCGATCATCAGATATTGTCCAAGATTAACCTTCAGGGTGGATATAGCTCACTAGCAGCCTCGTGCCGATGACCTAGTTGATGTCATCATTTACCCAGAATGCTTTGCATGTAAATAAAATGGCTCCGTCCATGTAATATATTTTAAACTTTTAGTTTAAAAATTATACCTACAGTATTTTTACAGTCTTTATTTTACAGTTAAAGTATATGTTTATCATATAAAGTCTAATTTTACAACTAATCGGGGATCCCTTTAAAACAATGCTAAGGTATTTTATTATAGAGCAAATATGTTGTTTAAAGCTGTTCTAAAACGTTTCATTGCAGCAGATGTTGTGTGACCATTGAGCAGGAAACCTTCAGTCTGTGTGTTGCCTGAAGGCGTTTGGAGACTTTAAGAAAGGAAAGGCCCTGCATTCCTGGAGGGAACGCATTTCGGAGTTTCAGATGGAATTATTTCACAGTGTTTCAAAGGTTTGTGAGATCTTTTGCTAACACATGCACAAAAACATTTTTCACTTTGGACAATACATAATTCATGTTTTTATAAATTTTGATGAAATGTTTACAACCCTGATTCCAATGACATTGGGTAAAACAACAGTGTGACAGGTGATATGATAACAGTAAAACGTCTAAGATGTTTTATTTTCATGTTGGTGGGTGTGTCTCTCTAATGCCTGATAAATCAGATATTTCATTAACGTGTTTAGCTGTGAGGCTGAGATCTCCTTCGACTGCAGTAAGGTTGGATAAAGTCTGTCGCAGCTCGGCGATCTCCTGCTCCCTCTTGGTGAGATCTTCCGCCAGTCGGCCGATCCGTAGAGTCAAGTCGGACAGCTGCGGCTCAAACGCCCCAAAGTCTCTTTTAATAGACGCCACCTTGGGTTTAAGGTCAGCGGCGAACGTCACGGTTCTGATGAGGCGAGCTCGGCTGCCCTCCAGCTCCCTCAGGCGCTCCGAGATCTGCTCGTCCGCGGCGGCGAGTGCGGGKAGACGCCCGCGGAGCTGGTCGATGGCCCGGGTGTTGCGTTCGGAGGCGGCGCGGAGGTTGGAGACCCGGTCGATGCTGCCGGCCAGCACGTCTCCGATGCGTTTCACCATGCCGTGCTCCACCTGCGAGGTCTTCTCTTCCAGCTCTGCCAAGCGGGTCAGCAGGGAGTCCAGCTCGGACTGCAGGCCGTCCATCCGACGCATGTCTGTCTTCACCGAGGACACCTGGAATCAACGGGAAATCGTCATCACGATAACCTTGCATTAGGCATATTGTAAAAAAACTGTAAACTGCAATAAATGGTTGGAACAAATGTTTGC